GCATGTTAAAAAAAAAATTGCTGGAAAATAGATTTTTTTATCCTATTCACACACACACACTAATTGTTAGTTTAATAATAAAAATCTTTTTAATTTTAGTTTTTCTTGAATGGAGCTTTTGAGACTTGGGACTCACAATCGATTAACGAAATGTCTAAATTAATAAATTTTTAGTAATAAAAGATTTTAATAAAAAAATATAAGATCTCAATAAATAAAAAAACCTTGAAGAGTACAAATAACAAATGAGTTTACCGTATAATTGATCCCTATACAGTTTCTTTTTTATCGAGACCTTCTATTTTTTTAGTTTGATTGAAACTTTCTATTCTTATAAATTTATTAATTGAGACTTTCCATTATAACGTTGTTAACTATTCATTCCACTTGCCAATCGAGAGCTAACATATGAAAATGTGGATAAAAATAATTTGCTATGTGTCATTATCCGATTGACTATCATTAGTTTTAACTTGCTACGTATAATGAATAGTTAATGAAGTTATAACGAAAGGTCTCAATCAATAAATTTGTATGAATAGAAAATTTCAATCAAGTTGAAAAATAATAGAGGGATCTCAATAAAAAAAATTGAAACGACGTAAGAACCAATTATGGAATAAATCCGATAACAAATGTAAGATTTCTTTTCCATCCTAATATACAGTGATGGGATGTGAATGTAATTAACGTGACAATCAAATTAATCACTTATACTATTGAGAGATATCATTGAATCCTATTGAATTAACAATCGATTTCAGAAGTCAAAGAGGATTGCTTGGTACAATTTACTACCTACTTCATTGGAGATGTGATGTAATGCTTGGTTGAATAATAATACTTTTTGTAGCTAGCTAGGTCCATTCCCACTTTGCTTTTTGACCTCCAGCTGCGTTTGGTAGAGGTCAATTTAAAAGGGGCTGCTTAAACTAATGAAGAACAACTAACTTGAAAAAAAAAAAAGGAAAACCTATGACCTCATTTATGTCCTCAAAATTGATACTATTCATACAAGTTATGAGTTCTATCGACATAGGGCAGTTAAAATAAATTCATGGTTCCTTAATTCTTGAAAATTTGTCATATCAGCCCCATCTATTTCAATTTTGATATCTCGAGACACTGTACTTTCAGTTAAATAATAGGGTAAACTAAATTCATGGTCCCTCAATTATCGAAAATTTTTCATTAGCCCTTCTCCTTTTATTTTGATATCTCAAGACGACCCTGTACTTTCAGTTATTGGTCGTGCATTGGCCCTCCATTCAAATTTGTCCAATTAATGGGGCAACGATATGTATTTTGCCATACAGAGATGTCAAGTTAATCTAGAAAAGAAAAAAAAATGAGAATCAAGATTGAATAAAAGAATAAATAAAAGACGAACCAACATGGAAAATCAAAGTAAAAAAAAAAAAAAAAACTAAAACCTAAAATACTAAATTCTATAGACACAAAATTCTTCAAACTTTTAATACTATTAAACCTGAAAATAAAATCAACTGAAAGCTTCATCTTTCTCTACTGCCCTCTTTTCTTATTTTATCTTTTCCAAATATATATATATATATATATATATATGTTTTTATTCTTATTTATTTATTTCTTATGTTTTTTTAAATTGATATGATCTATAATGTGGTTCAATAAAATCCATGGATCTCGTAAAACTGACATGGTTAGCCAGCTTTTCATACTGTCAGCCATGAACATGGATGGAGGAACCACACGTGACCAATAACTGAAAGCATAAGGTCTTGTGTGACCAAAATTGAATTAGAGAGGCAAATATGACTAATTTTTTAAACTTGAGGGACCATAAATGTATTTTAATGAAAATAGTATTTGTTAATCTTTATTTGGTAGGTCGTCGTTGCAATGTTGAATTCTCTGACAGATGTGATGGGGTATTTTCCCACTCAACAAACACTTATTTCTTCTTCTAGGAACAACACAACAATAGTTTTATAGCAAGAAAAAATTGACTTTGCTTGAAAATGAAATATTGTTGTGGAATAATTAAAACAAAATCTGAATATGTACACCATTTTATTTGATTAAATTAATGTTGATATTAAATAACATTATTTCAGAAGAAATATGAGTTAAAGGGTTATTTAATTGGTCTATATGAAATTTGAAAAATAAATAAATAAATAAAAGTATCAGAATGAGAATGACAAAACCAGTTAGTTTGATTATTTATTTAAGTTGTGAAAAATTGACTGTAATTCAAGACCTCTAAAGAAAAGATGGCATGAATATCGATGAAACCAGCTGAAATTCCGTTAATTGTTTCTCTTCAACTTTGAAAACTAGAGTTGTTTGGTTGACCCCACGAATTAATTTGGTGAATTGAAGACAGCCAGGATTGTAAAATGCCCCGAATTTTTTTATTAAGTGCTTTAGACTTATTACCAAAATATTTGATATATATATATATATATATATTGTCATAGACATAAATCTTACACCTTAATTACTCAATTATTAAATATTAGAGAATTAAAGTTAATAATCAATAATTGGTAGGATAATGAAGAGGATTGTATTACCACGACCAATTGAATGATGAAAGGTTATTTTGACTTTTTTTATAATAAGATTTGTTTTAGATTCAAATATCAAAAAAAAAAAAAAAAAAAGAGATTTTAAACCCATGATTTCATGTAAATGTAAAAAAAAAATTTATTACCATTAAACTAGAAACATTATAAATTGTTTTAGTTGGTAGTTATAATTAACGTAATATATTAATATGCATGTGCTTATATGCATAATTATTTTTTCATAAAAAAACCCAGAAAAAAATGTATCAATTGTGCACTCAGCAACATGCCCTTTTCCCTTGAATTCCTTGTGTATTCTCATATATAAACCAAAAACATTAAAAACACATTATTAGAATGTTTCATTTTCAACAAGATAAAAAAAAACACTTCAACTAATTAAATTTCCAACTAGCACATTTAAAAAAAAAAAAAACATCTAAAATTTTTGCATATCAAACACTTCCTAGATGTTATTTGCTGAATAAATTATAAGGAATAACCTTTATCCCTCTCACATCATCGTGAAGATTTTGAGACTTTGAAAAGGTGGTCATAGACCGCCCAAAGAAACTTTGTGCTCCAACCTTGTGATAATTAATTGCACTATAACTACATCAATTGTTTGGATTGAAAAAGAAAAAGAAAAAAAGATATAGTTGAATTATACCGTTCAACCTTGGAAAGAACCTTTCAGGTCTTCAGAAAGGTAATCAGATTTCAAACATTACCAAAGCGCATGAGTTGTCAATCTGTCTCTTCTCCTGCCACGTACCTGGCTCTAGCCTGGCGTTGATAAATTTTCAGACAGAATGTGGTGCACGGAGCTCTAAAAATATGTTTTGAAATGTTGGATTGGCTATCATATGGCATGAACCTATTAGGTGACCAAACTACTTGAAGCCAGTTCGACTGTCTCTCTGAAAAAATATAGAAATAATAAGCCAATTATTGTTTCAGACAATCCATCTCAGGCATTGGATATGCTCACATGCATGTTGAAGCACGAATTGGCTTGAATATTGAATTACTGGCTTGATCTTGAAAATTCTTCAAGACAATTGTTAAGCCGTAGGGCTCATATAAATTTCAAAATTTCTCAATTCAGCTAAACTAAGCATTGCTACAAAATATTTCATGGCACCTATCAATGAATTGGGCAATTATTTTTAGCACGAGTCCCCAGTTAAGTGAGTTTATTTTAGAGAAACTGTTTTTTTATTTTAATAAAAAATATTTTGATCAAAAACTTTATTCATGATGGAAAAAAATTAATATGAAAAACATAGACTGAACGTTTTAATTTTTTTTTAAAAATAAATACGATGCGATTAAAAACATAAGATATATAAAAAACTCAAAATATTATAAAAATAGATCGAACCATTTAATTTTAACTAGGAACTACATTTTTTACACACGCTACGCTACGAATAGGATAAAATACATAAAATTATTTTATTTTGATATCTCATGTTATATTTTACGTCTACCAAAATATATTAAATTTTATATTCGATCGATTATTCTTTATATTTTTCATAAATTTTTTAATAAAAAATTATTTAATAGTATAAAGAATGTTAAAACCAATTGATTCTTAGCTAAAAAATTAATTTGTAATGTTTTTAAACATTTTGTTGCCTTAAAATTTTTTATTAAAAAAAATCAAAGAAAAAAAGACCTAAGTGAAAAAAAAAACAAAAAAAAGGACCGAAACCAAACAAAATATATTTTTCAGATTGAAAAAATCATATTTAAAAAGAAAGGCCAAAATGCAAATGTTAGGAAAACTTTCTTTATAAATATATTAAAAATGTTTAGAAACTACAAAAATATTACTATCAAAAGGAATAATGCTTTTGAGTTTGTGTAAGTAATAAAATGAGTGTAGATGAATAGTATTTCAAATAATAAATAAATAGTAAAACAACTGCCCCCATAATCTTCATATTTTCCCTTTGATGCATGTGCTTTCACTTTTTTTTTTTTAATATATATATATATATATAGTTTGAGATGAAAATACATCAATTGCCTTCATGTATTTCTCTTGTGGAAAATTTACTTTAAAAAATATTAGCTTATAGGTTGGCCATTGATTATACATTTAATAAAATATTAATATTTGGATGTCGAAAAGATAATTTCGACTATGTACGAGAATGGCCCAAAAGCATTTTGACATTTAAAAAAAACAATAAAAGAAAAAAGAGAAAAAAAAACAGCAGAAAAAAGTTAACAGTTGACCATTATAATTAACAAATTTAGATAAAATTAATTCAATTAAGTGAATTAATAATAAAAACCTAAAATTATCAAATTACAATAAAACAGCCGTAATTTTTGCCATTAAAACATAAAAGATCGATATCTGGATATTGACAAGACAATTCCTACCATGTCGGAGAATGCCACAAAAGTTTAAAAATAGAAGTCCTTGCAAAATTAAACAGCTTCTTGTTCCTTCCCTTCCTTGATCCGGTGTTGATCAAAATCACTACAAGTTGTCTCGCCTTTTCCAAGCTTCAAATTTTCACCTCCTACATTGCTTTCATCCTTCAATATTCCATAGCTGCGACTCACATCTTTCCACTCTGTTTCGTAAGACAAGTACTCATGCCTTCCAATGTATCGTTTCAGTTCAACACGAAGGTTCCTTATGGGCTAACAACATTATATCCCAAGAACATTATTCACAACTTTGTACTATAAAATGAAGGGAATAGAAATTAAGAAGTTCAAAAAAGAAAAGGATAGGAAAACAGCAAACCTCAGCATTGGAATCGAAGGCAAGACGAAAGAAAGCAACAGAAACGAAATGTTTGCCAACTGATTCAGCCAACTTGATCTGACCAAGCCAATAAGAAGCCGTTTCAAGCCTATCAAACCTGCATTTGCTACAATTATTTGCACTATGATATGGAGTCCCAGCAACTTTGCTCTCAGTTATAGAATGTGAAGCCACAGGCGTTCTAATATCCGACAGATTCGGCCGAACCTTTTCTTGGGAGTCGATGCTTTTCTTCTTGAATCTTTGCCCTGGTTTCTTGGGTGAGTTGTTCTTGGCAACTTGATCGGTTGTGACATTTATGCTAGCATTGCATTTTCTTGTTGTTGATTTGGGTTCTTTGGTGATTGCTTTTTCGGTTACTGTTTTGACTTGAATGTTTGTGCATCGAACGGTACCAAACACTCGCTTTTGCCTGGAAACAGAAAAGGAAAAACAACTGTAATGGAACTCAAGATCTTTGAAAGTGGAAATCGAAATAGTTGGGTTCTAAGCATGGATTTACCTGGAAAATGGAGGTTCCTTGAGTCTAGTTCTTGTCGATGCGTCGGTAATTTTACGCGTAGTTTTGGGTTTCAAAGTCTGTGTCTTCCCTGCAATTCCAAAGAAGCATACATTGCATTCATTGTCAAAATAGAATCACATGGAACAATTCTTTTTTGCAAAATCATAATAATAAAAAAAGTAGTTCCATTTACCTGGAAATGGGGTTGGATGATCCATTAGAAGGAATAAGAAACTGAGATGTAAATATATTTAACTTTTTCTGTTCGAAAATACAGAGGATTGTTTAATTTGAAAGGAACAGTTGCATAATTTGATGTTTAAATTTGAAAAATGGGCGGCAACAGTTTAGCGTCATGATCATGGGTCGGGGCAGTTGGATTAAGGTAGTCATTTATATGGGCTTATGGCCTGTGGGTATTATTTCCACTATTTTTCCACAAAAAGATCGAATTATTTTAGCCATCCTCTCTCTCTCTCTCTCTCTCTCTCTCTCTCTCTCTCAATGTATGAACCATCCTAGAATTTCATCTGCTGTTGTAATTCAATGCATCTTGGTAAAGTAATTAACCAATTTAATTGCATTCTTAACACGACAAAAATGTGAAAACTGATACTCTCTCATCTAATCTTTATTATTAAATTCAAAATGATTAAGAGATTTAGAATACGATTGGTCATTTCTGTATTGAAATAAAATATCAAAATCTGAATTTTTTTATGTAAAAGGTCTACGATAAGAAACTTTTAGCAAGTAGTATTGGGCATATGAACATCATATCCAAACTTGATGGTGTACAGGGATCAGGATTTCATCCAGTGAGTTCCCAAGTCTTTTTGATGAATTATGTCAGTCAATTTTTTCTAAGTTTTAAGGAATTGTTAATTTATTTTTAACTATTCAAAAATAAAATTCCGCAATGATTGAGTTTTAAAAATAACATACATTTTTTTCTTTAAAAAAAAAAAAGAAGAAAGAAAATAACAGTGTATTTTATAATTATAACAAAAACTAAAAAAAATGCAAGTGTCACTATTCATTTTCTATTGTTTAAGACTCATCTCTCTTATTCATGCAAAATTTTTTTTTCTTGGTCCTTATTTCTTTGAGAGTTCTTTACTATTATATCTTCAATAAAATGGCTATATTACATATAAGAAAAGAAAAAGAAAATAAAAAAGAAAAATAAAAGGTGAGCTTGGGCAGAAATATTATAATGCACAATGAGTAATTAATGATATGTATAGTAGTTATTCTTTGAATGTATTTTGAGGAAAAAGATAGATAAACAAAAAAGAGAGAAAATAAAAAAATTTAAACGGATGTGAAAATCTTTTTATCATTTTTTATGGATATGGATGTAATTTTTTTTATGTGTCTATCTCTCTTCTCAAAATGGATCCAATAAATAACTACTATACATGTCATTACTATTATATATATCACTAATTACTCATTTATATTATAAAATTTTTCGAGCTAGGGTACGATTTTAATCTTGAAAAAATCTTACACTTTTTACATTTTGTGGTTTGCTTGCAAAATCCAACATGCGTGTATCCATGGACCAAGCACGCACGTACTGCACTTTCATCTACCTCCACCATTCTTTCTCTTGCCTGCTAGAAGTACTGCTGCTATGCATCCATATTTTGCCTTACCCTTCGATTTGCTTTGCCCACCCCATTAAAGAACTCTGCAGGACACAATTTATATTGACAAGGACTTCGCAGTCAAATTCCAGAGGATTTGATGTGTCCATTGATTCCAACATACGTGTCAACTCAAAAAATACTACACCCTCCCATGCTCCATTTTTGCTTTTAATTTCTCTCTCTGCCAAATTTTTGCCTTCTGCTTTTAACTCTTGCCACCTGCACATCTCCTAGCTACCTGTTTTATGACAGTCTCCAAACAATTGTCAATCACATCACTAGCCCATGTAGCGTTCTCTAGTAGTAGGCAACGAAATTTTATCTTTGTAGAAGGGAGAAGGGCAAAAGAAAAACAAAAAGACACGATCTTGCTAGAAGATAGCAATGGACATAGGTTCAGCACTAGAGAGTGATTATCCAAGAAGACCTGCGAAGAAGAGGTCTCATACAAGAAGGGGTGCCCAAGATTGTGTCATCAACATGGCCGAAGCAAGAAGAGAAATTGCTCATTGTTTACACCTCCATAGATCATCTTCATCTTCGTCTTGTGTTTCAAAAAGGGATCCTACCGATTTCTTAGGTAATAATTACGGTAACCCAGACATTAATTTTAAGTCTTTTTTTGCCAGTAATTCTCAGTACAATTGCTATTCATTGATGGATACTTTGCCAACCCCTGAGCCTGTCTGGTCTACTACTACTACAACAGCGGTTTTTACAACACCACCTCCGATGGAAACTACAGAATTTGAGTGGGGAGACAATCAAGCTGCTTCTTATAGTTGGTGGCTAGGGTTTTTAAAGACCTTGGATGGTAATAGTACTACTACTACTACCCCAGGTGTAAAAGATGACACAGAAATGAGGGATCCTAGAGTGTTTGGTCAGTGTGAGATTAATGTTTCAGGGCTTGGAGAATCAAGTGACCAGCTTAGCTCATCTACAGATGATTGGTTGATGTTTCCAAATAATGAAGATCCAGGGGAGAGGCAAGTCCCCTAAAGAAATTTTTTTGGAGATGAACTTCTGGCTAGTTGTTAAGTTGTTAAATTAAATCTGTGTTAACAAAGTAAATGCATGCTCTAGTATGTGAAGTAATTCTTGATTACACGTTTTCGATTTTTTTTTTTTTTTTTGGGAATAGGGATGTTTATGGAGTCATTTCATTGCTTGTTAAACCTTGAATTAAGTCATTCTTCCATGTAGAAATTTCTCTATCAAGCATGCCTGGTGTTAGCATGCATAATCTAGATTCCTCTTTTTGTGGAGTTAGACACATTTGCACCATCTCATGCCATTGCCATTCGAATGTGTTGCCACTTGCCACACCAAAAACAGATTCTTGAGTGCGTCTTTATGTGGAATACATACACACTTTTGCGCTAGGCCATGCCAGCTTGAATGCGTTCCTACCTATAATAATAATAATAATAATAATAATAATAATAAGTAGTAGTAGTAGTAGTAGTAGTAGTAGTAAAAACAACAATAGGGAAAGTCTAGAATTCCGGTGACTAACTGTTTGCGTTTTACATTCAACGTCCGTGGGAACAAAAGGTCTATATAAACCAAGCCAAATTGGCCATTTGGTGTTGACATATACAAGTGAATTGTAATGGTGAAATTTGTAGCACCGACTAATTTGATTGATCTTGGCCAAATGATCATCCGCAGACACCGAGTCTAAGCAAGAAAAAAAAAACGATAATACCAATGCATCATTTGTGTGATGAGTTGAACCCCTTTGGTCGTTGAAGTTGGACGTGGCAAGAATAATGTGGGCTGAGACAACGAACAGTTCAGAATCTCTCATCATAAGCTTAAGAAAAATGACATCCGTCGAAAGTCCCGACAAGACCCCGTAAATGGCGTGCTTGGTCCGATTACTTCTATACTTCATATGACTTTGATTCTTCATGGCTTGTTGGGTCAAAACTTGGTTCTGAGCAACATGTCCATTTGCTTTCATGGTTTGACGATATGATTAATTGTTGGGCCAAAACCATTGAGAAGAAGTCTATACACATGTACCTCGGCTCGTCAAGCAACAAAATTATCTTAGTTTTATATGATCACTTTTTTTAGAATAAAAGTGGCTATTTTGTTCAGTCATAGATGCCATCTCTAAGCGTATTGAATTTAGCCTGATCATCTTAATCTGTAAGGGACAAGTTTCGAATTCAAGAGACATCATCGTTTTACTATTATTCACTAGGTTTGATTTTTGAAAGCCCAAGGCCTGTCCTTCTGGTAGTATTGTCGGGTTCACCTGTGGCTTGTTTAATTAGTGAATTTACTTAGGCAGAAACTAGCATCAATCCGACCTTAGCTCAGTTGGCAGAGCGGAGGACTGTAGTAGTTGCTGTAATCCTTAGGTCGCTGGTTCGAATCCGGCAGGTCGGATTTTCTTTTACAAATTTTTACCTTTCATTACTCCTAATACTTAATGAATTACATTTACACGTGACAAAGGATAATTAATAAACACAAAATATTTTTTTTATTCTAAAAAAAAACAATATATTTTAAAAAGGTGGGTTCGAGAATAAGAGTGTGATGAACCATCTGCATTGGTGGTGACAAAGGGAAACAAAATCAAACCAATGGACCTCTGGCTTTCTCTTTTGTGACCATTTGCTATCAGATTCAACAGCACTCGGGAGACTCGTCGCGGTTGGCCAAGGCTAGCTTAGTAGCTTGTCACTTTTGGTATTGAAGGAGACCTGTTTTACTGAAAGCGTAAAGCTAAGGGGACACCTGGCAAGTGGTAACAGTTTAATCATTTATTATCTTCAACAAAACATTTTAATTGCTGCCTATTTAAAAACATTTACGATGAGATTAAATTTATTTAGATGGTTAATTTTTTTTTAAAAAAAACTATAATTTAAGTGTTTTTATTATGAAATAATAACTATCTATAGCCATTTCATATTTTCACTACCCATTATTCTTAATGTGATTCAATTCACCATTCAATATGAGAAATTAAAAGGGTGATGCAATTTATGCATATTTAAATAGTTTATAGTCATTTTCAATTCTCTTCTTAATCTTGAAGCCTATAAATAGGCTTCATTGTTCCTTTGTTGACATACAAGTATTTTGTAGAGAATGAGAGATTATTTAGAGTTGTTATCTCTCGTATTCACTTTATCTTATAGTGAGTTCATTTTTCTATTAACTTTCTTTTCAATTCTCCTATTATTTCTATTTCTTTAATAACACGTTATCAATAAGAAGTTCTAACCAATCAAGATAATAGACCATGAGGTATGCATCTATCAAAAGACTTAATTAGTTGTTTCAACTATTAGATTTCTTTTACACAAGTGCTCTACCAAATGATCTAAATTATTTAAATCATTAAAAGGTATATCTAATTTATCATGTACTTTAAATCTAATGATACATATAATATACATTTGATAAACTTAAATAATTTAATATATAAAATCTAATGATCTAATTATTTGAAAGTTCAAATTTTATTATTATGTTTGTTTTTATTTAAATTTTATTATTAAATTTTGTCTTTATTTCCTAATATTATTATTATATTTTGTAATATAAAATTTTTATAATATCAACCATCATAAAACTTGATTTTATGGTCCTTAACATTTTGGGCAAGAATTATTGATTATGAGTGCTTGATGTTGAATTAATATCATCTACTTTTTATGTCTCGAATATGCTTCTACAATAGCATATTGAGAAAAAGAGTTTAAAAAATATTCTGAATCGATTTCATATTTGCTCGTGGCTAAATAAAATGACAAGTTATTGATGAAAAAGAATAAATCTCGTCCAACCGGATTTACTTCATTCCCCGAAGAGAATATGACAACTTATAATAATTTTAAACACGGATGAAGACGTAGTCATAACCATGGACGTGGTCAAAGTAATTATCATTATAATCGTGATGATCATAATATTACACATCACCACTAAAAGTGGATAACTATGAAAAAAAGAAGAATGAAAAGAGATAAAGTCAACATTCCGAAAATGAATGTTATAGATATGGTATGAATGAACATTGGTCGTGTACATGTCGTACACCAAAACACTTCATCAAGCCTTGTCAAACCTCTTTGAAAAAGAAAAAAGTAAAATATAGAGCCCAATTTTATATATCAAAATGGGGGTAATTGAAATTAATAACTTGTTAGTTTTTCTCTTTATAAATAAGATGTTTTATATTTTCTTATAATTACATAGAGATAGTGATAAATTTATTTTACTATATATTTATTTATTTATGGCTATGAAGTATTTATTTATTTTGTATTTATTTAATTATTTTATGTTGATATTGTATATGATAATATCAATGTAATAAAAAGCTCCGGAAGAGCGACTATATTATTATCCGAAGAGATACATTTTTAAGGCTCTAGAAGAGCGATTATATTATTACTTGAAGAGATAAATTTTTGAAACTCTAGAAAAGTGAATATATTATTACTTGAAGAGACAACTTTTAAAAGCTCTAAAAGAGTCAATATATTATTACTTGAAGTGACATAATTTAAAGGCTTCGGAAGAGCAAATATGTTATTATCCGAAAGGATAAATTTTATTATAAATGATGTAGTATTCTCTTCAAAGTCTCATAGAAATTTGTTGAGTTTCAAAAATGTTTATCTAAATTGATATCATATCAAGATAGCAAATATGAATACTTATATATTATAATCATTATAACAAGTAGAAAATATGTATTGAAAAATTTATCCGCTTTCTCTTCTAGTCTTTATTAGAAATATTAGAATGATTGAAACAAATGCTATAATAAACCGAAGTTTACTAATTCAAATACTTTTATTATATGGCATGATCAGTTATGTTATCTTGGGTCTTTTACGGTACGAAAAATTATTGAAAATTATTCATATGGATATCTATTGAAAAGCCGGAAGATTCTTTAATTTAATGAATTTTTATGTTCAGCATGTTGTCAAGAAAAATTGATGATTAAGCCATCATCAAGTAAAATTGAGATTAAATCTCCAATATTTTTAGAATGTATTCAATGTGATATATGTGGATCAATTCATCCACCATGTGAAGCATTTAAATATTTTATAATTTTAATAAATGCATCTACATGATGGTCACATATATGCATATTATGTACTTGAAAGTTGACGTTTTCGAGAATGTTAGCAAATAATTTGATTTCGAGCATAATTTTTAGATTAAGCCATTAAAACAAGTCACCTTGATAATGTTGGTGAATTTATTTCTTAAGCATTAAATTGTTATTGATTAGCTATTATAATAAAGGTTGAACATCTCGTTGCTTATAATCGAAAGGTTTAGCAAAATTATTTATCAAAATGCTCCAATTGATAGCTAAACCATTATTTAAAAATAAAAGTCTCTGTTTATATTTGGGGACATGCAATCTTATATGTAGCAACACTTATTTGTATTAGACTCATAAGTTATCGAAATTCTCTCCTCTTCAATTAATTTATGATTATGAACCAAATATTTCTTATTTAAGAATTTTTGGCTTTGCAGTGTAAATATATGTTGGATTTGAATCCTCTTCGATAATTCAATACTTGATTCATGAACAAGAGATATTTTTACAACTCGATTTATCAATTGTTATTTTGATAAAATATTTTTTTCCAATATTAGGATGAGAGAATAAACAAAATAAGCGAGTTGAAAATGTTGAAAAAAGAGATTACATGGAGTACTTTATCTTTATATCAACTTGGTATAAAACAATGTGAACCGAAGTTCGAAGATAATTCATTTACAAGGTAATATAAACCAACTCGCTGGATACATTCTCAAATCCTAAAAGAGTAACTAAAATGGATGTCCCCGTTGAGAATGCTTCTATGAGAATTGATGTCCTAGAAAGACGATCTATCAATGTTAATAGCTAATGAATTTAAAACACGTCCGAAGTGTGAAAGACCGATCGATTCTAAAGATAAAAATTCCTAAAAAAAGGGGCAAAATAAAAATTTAAAGGATGTGATTATCCATAAAACGATCCAAGATATTTTTGATAATAAGCTTCTAGAAGAAGTCCAAATGCTTGAGAAAAATCAAGAGATTTTGATAAATTATGTCAATACGGAGAGACAATAGGATTGAAATGAAATATTTATTAATAAGATGTTTTGCATATAATATTACAATTGATATTTTGAATGAAAATAAGGATCATGAGCCAAAATTTATTGAAGAATATCGAAATAAAGATGATTGGCCTAAATGAAAAAAGCAATTCGAGCAAAATTATGTTTTCTTACAAAAGAGTAATTTTTGAAACCCATAGTTAAAACACATGAAGTTAGTGGGATAAAAATATATATGTGAAAACAAAATAAAAAAGATGAGATTGTAAGATACAAAGCAAAACTTTTAACAAAAGAGTTCTCTCAAAGAATTGATATTGACTATGAGGAGACATATTCTCCTATAATGGATGCAATTATACTTTATTATCTTATTAACCCGGTAAAATATATATAAAAAATTCATATGCATGCATTTAATAAATGTTATCACAATTTATTTGTTCATTTGAAAGGATATCTATATGAAAGCTCTAGAAGGATTTAAGATACCTAAAGCATGTAATATATATTTTCGAGAAACAAATTCAATTAAATTATGGAGATCTTTATTAAAATTATTTTAGTATTTATTTTATTATTTTAGTTTTTAGAAATTCAACTTATGCTATACTTTTTATATTTATTTTTTTATTTTTCAATATCTATTCTTTATTAATAACCCGTGTGCATATGGTATAATTATTTCAATAAATATTCATTGAAAGAAGGTTAAAAAAATAACCATATTTATTCATGTATTTTTATAAAGAAATTCAAAAAGGGGTTTATGACGAGTTACTATATATGATGATGATGATTTAAATATTATTGAAACTTCGAAGAGATTTTAGATACTATAAGTTAGCTAAAAGGA